GGAGACCTTTTCTATTTTTGGCTACCACTGTCCCTTTAAAAGCGCGCCCGCTACGTGCGGTGCGCTCCCAGTGCTAGGCGAGTCACGTGGCCGCTTCTCGTGGTCAATGCACGCCTCCCCGTTGGATGAGTCGCAGGACCGTGCGTGGTGGGGAAAGAGGACCTCGCCCGGCCCCTGGAGAGGATAAGTACCACTACACAAGGCCCGTCATCTCCCATATTCATAAGAAGCAGAGAGGGGAATTTAATTTTTCTTTCCTCGAGGTGGCAAGTGATTTCTGTGGGAAATGGAATATTTTCCAAACCAGCTTTATTTTCAGGAACTAAACTAAAAGGATTTACCTGGGTTCAAACAAGAAAATCCTATTCACTTCTGAATAAATTTATTAAAAAGTTACTCTGCGCATCATAACCACTTCAGTGATTTTAAGTGGTCATGGTGCTTTGAGTCTGTGTGGGCAGTGTTTTCGCTTTAAAACCCTTCTGCAGCTCGAGTTGTAACTCCTCCTCCGGCAACATCATTAGCTAGCCTGGAACTATATTTTTCAGCTGGCTAACGTCAATTCTGTGCAAATATGTCACGCATAGTGTGCCATTCATTCACAGTGGTCAGCTGATGCTACGAATGGCGGCGGGATCGACTACTGGCTCCTGCAGCGGCCACCAGCAATGAAAGGTGCCTCAGAGCCCCGTAGGGACCCAGGTAAGACAGCAAATCATTCCTAAACAACTTGCTCCATTACCGCGTGTTAAGACACCTCCCGTGTCTTTAAGCCAAACCGCCGTTTAGTAAACCTTCCCCGGCTGCAGTACAGTCTCTGTTCGCTTACTCTGTAACCCACGAACCAAATGCAGGGGAAGCGGCAATCTCCCGATCGAAATCCACGAACGGCTCCAAACTCCCGAACGGCAATATACGAACTGCTAGGAACCGTCGAACAATAATATCCCCAAAGCGGCTTTCGTTCCATCCAGCAGTCTCTAACCGTGAAGAAGAAATCCCCCCAATAACGAGACAGAAGCTCCGCATTGAGGGTCAAATAAGATCTGGTTTTACTGTGGGCTACCTGCCCGTATTTATGCAGGTCTCCCACCTGGTGGACACTCCCCTAGGGGACCAAATGGAAGACTTAAATTACAGACAGATAGAAGGACATTTCTGACATACAGTCACATCTCTTACCCACAGTGCATTCTGATTCCCTCCCCTCTGTCCTGGAGTTAATTACCAAGTAACTCAATTAACTCCAGGACAAGGACAGTCGCCATTTTAAACATAAAATAATAAAAGACATAAAAATGCATAACTACATGAAAACTGAACATTTCCCATTCGTATTACATGTCCCCAGATAGCCTGGATCTGAGTGCATATTATTGGCGAATAGCGCTCAGATCCCACACACATAGTTCAATCGCCATGGAGTCAAAGTTTTTACAGTCTTTCGGTATACGAATGACTCCATGGGAGGGCTATCTGGGTTAAGTCTTTTGTATGCTCTCAATCTCCCGAACGGCCGGTGTTCGCATGCTTTCGTGGAGGCAGCCAGGCGTTCCCTTGTTTCAGCGGTGTTCGGCAGAAAAAGTGTCCGTTTTCAGTTCCATAGAAATAGAGCCAAACACCGCTGGGCGTTCGCATGATTTAAAATGGCCGCTGCCTCGTGGTCGACATACGAACGACGACCACCCTGAGTTCGGTTTAATTGAGAAGTGTCTGCGGTTAACCACAACATTATAATGGTGATCACTTCGTTAACCTGCAGCACACTCCTCACTTGGGTGGCCGTTCGTTCGGCAGGTTTTGTTCGGGAAAAAGAGTCATTCGAATGGCTGGGCTATAGAAACCAGCCATTCATACGAACGGGGACAAACAGACGAACGGGCAAAAATCCAGCAGACAGATGGTTCTGTCACACGGCTCCCTCCTTGTGGGACACTCCGGCAGACCCGGCTTGACCCTGTGGCGGGTCAACTTGGGGATGACCGGACTACGAGGTGATGGAAACGTCTGTTTGTCGTGACAACCCATCTGCATTTCCGTTTAGCTTACCGGGTCTGTAGCTGATAGTAAAATTGTAGGGCTGTAGTGCCAAGCTCCATCTCAGCAGTCTCCCATTGTCTCCTGAGACCCGGTTAAGCCAAACGAGTGGGTTGTGATCAGTCACAAGGGAAAACTCTTGCCCATACAAGTAGGGACTTAACTTTTTCAATGCCCAGACCAAAGCCAAACACTCCTTCTCCACTGCCGCATAACTCACTTCTCTGGGTAACAACTTTCTGCTGAGATATGCGACAGGGTGCTCTCCTCCATCTTCCCCGACTTGGCTCAGCACAGCCCCCAGTCCATACATGGAAGCATCTGTATGGACGAGAAAGCGTTTGTTAGGGACTGGGGCAGCCAAGACAGGGGCATTCACAAGAGCCTGCTTCAGTGCCTGGAACGCAGCTTCACAAGCCGGAGACCACAGGACCTGCTTAGGCAAGTTTTTCTTGGTCAGATCTGTCAGGGGCTTAGCGATAGCGCTGTAGTCAGGGACAAAACGTCTGTAGTACCCTGCCGTCCCCAAGAAGGCCAATACCTGGGTCTTAGTAGTAGGTGTGGGCCAGTTAGCCACTGCCTCTACCTTGGCTGGCTCCGGTCTCTGGCTCCCACACCCCACTCTGTGACCCAGGTACTGTACTTCAGCCATACCTAGATGACACTTTTCTGGCTTCAATGTCAGGCCAGCGGCCCTAATCTTATCCAGCACTACCCCTACATGTACCAGGTGTTCCTCCCAGGACCCACTGTAGATCGCAATGTCGTCCAAGTATGCACAGGCAAATTCTTGGAAGCCATCCAGGAGTCTATCCACCATCCGTTGGAAGGTAGCCGGTGCATTTTTCATCCCAAAAGGCATGACCTTAAATTGGTACAGGCCAAATGGGGTGACAAATGCCGACTTGGGGATAGCATCCTCGGCCAGGGGGATCTGCCAGTAGCCCTTACACAGGTCTATGGTGGTCAGATATCGCCCCCTGGCAATACGATCTAGTAATTCGTCTACCCGGGGCATTGGGTAGGCGTCAGTGGTGGTCCGCTCGTTGAGTCGCCTGTAGTCCACACAGAACCGGGTGGTCCCATCTTTCTTTGGCACCAGGACTACAGGCGAGGCCCAAGGGCTGTCGGAGTGCTCGATAACCCCAAGTTGGGTCATCTCCTGTATCTCCTTCCGCATTCCTTCACGGACTGCTTCAGGGATACGGTAGGGGGGCTGTCGTAACGGGGTCTGTCCAGGGGTCTCTACCTTATGCACAGCTAGGGTGGTATAACCTGGTTCCTGGGAGAACGTCGCCTGCTTCTCCCATAACAACTGCTGCGCCTGTACCCTTTCTGTAGGGTTCAACCGGTCCCCTAGCTGTACAAGGGTAGTAAGGTCAGTCTGGGAATCCCTTTCTAATAGATCTGGAAGGGGTAAGTTCTCAGAATCATCTGCAGCTGGGGCACATACTGCTGCAATATTCTCAGGTCTCTCCTGGTACTCTTTCAGCATGTTCACATGAAAGGACCGCTGGATCCTCTCATCTGCACAGCTGGCTATCAAGTAAGTAGTGTCGCAGATCTGCGCCACTACCTTGTACGGGCCCTGCCAAGATGCCTGCATCTTGTTGGCCTTCACAGGTTTAAGCACCAATACCTTTTGCCCAACCTGGAAGACCCGCTGTCGGGCACCCTGATCGTACCATCTCTTCTGTCTCCCCTGGGCCGCCTGGAGATTCTCCCTTACCATCAGGGACAGTTTCTCCATGCGGTCCCGGAGTTCCAAAACATATGGCACTATGGGGATCCCTTCCTGCTCCGTCTCCCCCTCCCAGTGGCCTCTAATGAGATCTAGGGGTCCGCGGACCCTTCTCCCATACAGCAGCTCAAAGGGGGAGAACCCAGTAGATTCCTGGGGCACCTCTCTATAAGAAAATAATAGATGAGGCAGGAATCTCTCCCAGTCTCTGCAAGTGTCTGTAAAGGTCCTCAGCATCTGTTTGAGGGTACCGTTAAAGCGCTCGCAGAGACCGTTAGTCTGTGGGTGGTAGGGTGAGCTAAGTAACGGCTTAATGCCGCACACCTTCCACAGTTGCTGGGTGAGCACAGCGGTGAATTGGGTTCCCTGGTCGGAGAGGATCTCCTTAGGGAACCCGACCCTAGTAAAAATTCTAACCAGGGCATCAGCAACCGTCTCTGCCTCTATGTTAGACAGCGCTACTGCCTCTGGATAGCGGGTGGCATAGTCCACCACGGTAAGAACATACTTCTTACCGGATGGACTAGCCCTGGCCAGTGGACCCACAATGTCAACGGCTATGCGGGCAAAGGGCTCCCCTATAATAGGCATCGATAATAGCCTAGCCTTAGGGTGGTCCCCCCGCTTTCCTACCCGTTGACATGTGTCACACGTGCTGCAGTACATCCGCACAGCCTGGTTAAAGTTTGGCCAAAAGAAGTTCTGTGAAATCCTATAGGCTGTGCGGCGGGACCCTAGATGTCCAGCTAAAGGAACATCATGCCCTATCCGCAGAATCTCCTGCCGGTACTTTGCAGGTACCACTAACTGGCGATTCGGCGGAGTGGCAACACTCTTCTGGGAAGGTTTAGGGATCCTATACAACCTGTCCCCCACCCACTCATACCGTTCCCCATCTATTCCTTCCTGCCCAGCATCTGCAGTGTCCTTGTATCTTTGGAGGGTCGGATCTGCCCGGGTTTCCCTCCCAAACTCCTCTGGGGAATCCCAGCTTAAGGGAACCTGATCTGGGGTACCAGTCGGGGAAGGAGATCTTACCTGGGTCTCGTCAGCAAGTGGGCTGGTTCCGGCAGCACGGGTCTGGGCACGGGTGGTCACTGGGTTCACGTCTGCAGGGCCCATCGGAGCATAGGCTGAAACCAAAGGGGCCAAATCGTTTCCCAAAAGAACATCGGCGGGCAAGTCCTTCATCACCCCCACATCCACATGCCTAGCGCCCACTCCCCAATCCAAATGTACTCGGGCAACAGGTAAGCGAAACACGGCACCCCCTGCTACCCTTACTGCCACAGTGTCCCCAGTGTGCTGATGCTCTGAGACCAAGTTCTTTTGGAGCAGTGTCATCGTAGCTCCTGTGTCTCTCAGCCCATTCACCACTCTGCCATTCAGCTTCACAGTTTGCCGATGTTGCTGGCGATTATCCTGGTGAGCTGCTTGCACTGGGTCTGCCTCGTGTAGAATGCCCCAAAATTCCTCTTGCTCTAGGCAGTGAGCAGCAGGCTGAGGTGGGCGCTGGTTTCCATTAACTGGTCTCCTCCAGGACTGAGCCTGGTTGGCACTGTTTAGTGGGCACTCAGGACGCTTGTGCCCCAACTGCTTGCACCCATAGCACCGGATGGGTTGGGAGTACTCCCGGGCATTAAATCGGGCTGGTTGCATATAATTGTGAGCTGGTGGTGCGGCTGGGGTACGGTGTACTGGGGGTTGGTAGACTGCAGGAGCGGGTGTTACTGCTGGTCGATACTCCAGCCTGGCAGGGGCTTTAGCAGCTGTACCATCCAACTTGCGGGCATCCGTGTATTCGTCTGCCAGACGGGCAGCCTCGGGTAGGGTAGAGGGTTTTCTGTCTCTGACCCATTCCCGGACCCCAGCAGGTAGTCTATCAAAGCAGTGCTCCAGCAGGAACACTTGTAACACCTCCTCCCCAGTTACCGCTTGGCATCCAGCCATCCAGTGGGCTGCGGTACGATGGACTCTGCAGGCCCATTCCACATAAGAGTCCCCAACCAGCTTGTTGGTTTCTCTAAACCTCCGCCTGTACGCCTCTGGGGTCACTGCATACCTGGCTAGGAGCGCCTCTTTCACAGCCCGGTAGCTGGTGATCTCCTCCTCTGGGATGGCCCGAAAAGCTTCACTAGCCCGGCCAGATAATTTCCCAGAGAGGATGGTGACCCATTCATCTGCAGGTACCTGATGTAGCGCACACTGCCTCTCAAAGTCTGCCAAAAATCCATCAATCTCTCCCTCTGTTTCCACAAAAATTTTAAATGCAGCAAAAGGTACCTTCTTTCTGGCAACCACATTATTGTCATACGGTACCTCTGCTGCTGCAGCTCCTCTTTCCCGGGCCGCCTGTTGTGCTGCAACTGCTGCCTGCACACGAACCACGATGTCAGCTGAGGGGTTGGGGCCAAAATGTGCCAGCCTTATTTGTACTGCCCGGTTGAATTGTATTTCCTCGGGTGTTAAATCCAAGGTACTGGGCACGTTGACTCTTTCCATTCCCGTTGCTGCATCCATCTCCATTAGCAAAGCAATAATCTCCCGTTTCTTTAAATTGCTTGCTGACCTTCCTCGGCGTTCCAATATGTCCTTAAGTGTAGCACGCCTTAATTCCTCGTACTGCATGTCTCGTAGCTGACCTCCAATGCTGTAGGATTCATCCCGTCGCTTGCCACCAATTGTTAAGACACCTCCCGTGTCTTTAAGCCAAACCGCCGTTTAGTAAACCTTCCCCGGCTGCAGTACAGTCTCTGTTCGCTTACTCTGTAACCCACGAACCAAATGCAGGGGAAGCGCAATCTCCCGATCGAAATCCACGAACGGCTCCAAACTCCCGAACGGCAATATACGAACTGCTAGGAACCGTCGAACAATAATATCCCCAAAGCGGCTTTCGTTCCATCCAGCAGTCTCTAACCGTGAAGAAGAAATCCCCCCAATAACGAGACAGAAGCTCCGCATTGAGGGTCAAATAAGATCTGGTTTTACTGTGGGCTACCTGCCCGTATTTATGCAGGTCTCCCACCTGGTGGACACTCCCCTAGGGGACCAAATGGAAGACTTAAATTACAGACAGATAGAAGGACATTTCTGACATACAGTCACATCTCTTACCCACAGTGCATTCTGATTCCCTCCCCTCTGTCCTGGAGTTAATTACCAAGTAACTCAATTAACTCCAGGACAAGGACAGTCGCCATTTTAAACATAAAATAATAAAAGACATAAAAATGCATAACTACATGAAAACTGAACATTTCCCATTCGTATTACATGTCCCCAGATAGCCTGGATCTGAGTGCATATTATTGGCGAATAGCGCTCAGATCCCACACACATAGTTCAATCGCCATGGAGTCAAAGTTTTTACAGTCTTTCGGTATACGAATGACTCCATGGGAGGGCTATCTGGGTTAAGTCCTTTGTATGCTCTCAATCTCCCGAACGGCCGGTGTTCGCGTGCTTTCGTGGAGGCAGCCAGGCGTTCCCTTGTTTCAGCGGTGTTCGGCAGAAAAAGTGTCCGTTTTCAGTTCCATAGAAATAGAGCCAAACACCGCTGGGCGTTCGCATGATTTAAAATGGCCGCTGCCTCGTGGTCGACATACGAACGACGACCACCCTGAGTTCGGTTTAATTGAGAAGTGTCTGCGGTTAACCACAACGTTATAATGGTGATCACTTCGTTAACCTGCAGCACACTCCTCACTTGGGTGGCCGTTCGTTCGGCGGTTTTGTTCGGGAAAAAGAGTCATTCGAATGGCTGGGCTATAGAAACCAGCCATTCATACGAACGGGGACAAACAGACGAACGGGCAAAAATCCAGCAGACAGATGGTTCTGTCACACCGCGCAACTGGGCTACGGTACTCCTGACATACATTTAAATATATGATAAGAACAGACCAAGAGCATAAAGCAGAGACAGAGAGAAAGAGAATTAAAAAAAATTATTTCAGCACCCTGGACAGAGCTGATATTCTGCAAATGCATTCAATTCACAAGCAGGAAAATGACTGATTATATAACTATAACAGCGCCCCCCCGCTGTCCAATTCATATGCTGCAGGATTTCTCAATGATTGATTAGTGATTGCCCTCTTGTAGCATTTGAATTCAATACACGTCTGGGTAGGACTTTTCATGCACAGCCCATTAATACGAACAAGCGATGCATGGAAAGTATGGTGGATCTGGCACCCCTCCCACCTATCTGATATTATTAAAGTATATCGACAGCGTCAATGGCGACCTCTTGAAACATTTTGGTCGAAGTATAATAATTTGCAAGATATATTTTATTAAAAAGAAGAACTGGCAATAAATTTGCGTGTACCAAGACGATATTTCCTCTCCTGTTCTTCATTTTACACCATTGTTCCCACTAAGCATTTATTAAGCACTGAAACAGTTGATAATTCAATGTTTATCACAACCACACCCTACATTGTGCATTGGAGGAAACACAATAGCTAAGCACAGGATATGATTATCCTAAGGATTCCTTTTTTTAACTGTGTCAATAAGACTGATCGCACAAAATAATGCTTAGTGGGAACACAGCAGCTCACTCACTGCAGCTGATGCACAAAATTATCCTACCAACCCAGCGGTGGGTGAATGGGACACTTGCCACTTTAGCCCTGTATTAACAGATCCTTTCACACAGGTTAATCAATCGATCCATATAATTTATGAACTGCTGCATCCGCGTTTTACAGAAAACAGCAGAGTGTGCAAAAAAGAGCAGCGTGTATTGACGTTGGCGAACCTCTATCCTTCGCTGCCTCCGACTATGTTAAACCATCACTTTTGGGGCGGTAGGAATGGCAGCATCTGGGCAGACAGCAGGAGCTGGTCAGTGCCAGACTCAGTATGTGCCCGCCTAAGACAAAACGCAGTTGATGAAAGTGTTAATGGCTAATTATCCGGATCATGCGGTGAGAGGCGCCGACTGTGTGTTCTGGTGCAGACACTAACTGGCCTGCTGGAAAATCAGCATAAGGGGAACGTATGTCGTTTGGGTTCGTCTGACGACAATAAAACACATGCTAGAAGCACTTTGAATCTGCTCGTTGGATTGTAAGTGATACAGTAAATGAATGCACAGTGCCAGGAGCAGGATGCAATCGTTTACACTCACAGGACGGGAGTGATTATTTTTAGTGATTCAGGTATAAAGCCTTTACTATAAATTGTACTTCCTGCAATTATAACATGATGGCTAAGACTGATACTGCAGATGTTTGTGGACTACAATTACCACAACGCTTAGCCAGCCCTTTGATGCGCAACTTACTGAAGGCTGAAGGTTGCAATATTTGAAAGTGTACCTGTGATTGTACACAAATTGGCCTTAAATAAAGCGTGTTTAATTTCACCTGTACATTTTGCTAGAAGAAAGCATAACAAATTTTAAGATTTGTATTTGGTGCCCTTTAATGTTTGGGCCCTCCCAGGGCCAGCGCCACAGTAAGGCGAACTAGACATTCGCCTAGGGTGCCGGCCTGCTGGGGGCACCCACCGGGATGTTTCCTGGTGGGCTCCCCCTGTCTTGGGCCGCAGCGCTGGGCTCTGCCACTAAATGCCCGTGACTGGAGGAGAGGGGGACGGAGCAGGCAGGGAGCGAGGGAGGCTCTTCTTGCAGCCTCTCACTCTTCCCTCACGCGCATTCTGTGATGCTGGGAGCCGGGAATATGAAATCATTCCAGCCCCGGCATACTAAACAGCGGGCGGGAGGAGTGAAGAGCTGTCACACACTGGACCCCAGTGTTTGACTCTCAGTGAGTGAATGTATGTGTGTGTGTGTGTCAGTGAGTGACTGCCTGTGTGTATGTGTGTGTGTCTGTCAGTGAGTGAATGTATGTATGTATGTATGTCAGTGAGTGGTGTGTGTGTGTGTATGTGTGCCTGTCAGTGAGTGTGTGTATGTATGTCAATGAGTGTCTATGTGTGTGTGTGTGTGTGTCTGCCTGTCAGTGAGTATCTGTGTGTGAGTGTGTATGTATGTCTGTTTTTTGGTCAGTGTCTGTGTGTGTGTCTGTCAGTGAGTGAATATCTGTCAGTGAGTGTGTGCTTGTGTGTCTGTCTGTCTATCTATCAGTGTATGTCTGTCAGTGAGTGTCTGTGTGTGTGTCTGTCAGTGAGTTAGTGTATGCATGTCAGTGTGTGTCTGTCAGTGAATGTGTGCGTCTGTCTGTGAGTGAGTGTGTGTGTGTGTGTGTCTGTCTGTCAGTGAGTGTGTGTGTGTCTGTCAGTGTGTTTCTGTGTGAGTGTGGGAGTGTGTGTATGTCAGTGAGTGAATATCTGTCAGTGAGTGTGTGCTTGTGTGTCTGTCTGTCTATCTATCAGTGTATGTCTGTCAGTGAGTGTCTGTGTGTGTGTCTGTCAGTGAGTGTGTGTCTGTCAGTGAGTGAGTGTATGTATGTATGTCAGTTACTGGTGTGTGTGTGTGTGTGTGTGTGTGTATGTGTGTGACTGTCTGCCTGTGTGTGTGTGTGACTGTCTGCCTTTGTATGTAAGACTGAATGTGTG